AATGCAGATTTGAACTCAGTGGGTCCTGGCTGGAATCTGAGATCCTGAATTTTTTAATAAATTCCAGGTGATGATGTTGTTGGTACAAGGACTAATGTTCATGTAGCAAAGGACTAGCCCAAGGGACATATTTTTCTGAAAAGAGCCAGGGAATAAATACTTTAGGCTATGTGGGCCCTATGATCTCTGTCCAACTAGTCATCCCTAGTGCTATAGCACAAAAGAGGCTGTAAACTGTATGAAAACACAAGTGGCTATGTGCCAGTTAAGCTGTTTACAAAAACAGGCAGCTAGTTAGATTGACTGCCAGCATAGTTTGCTGACCCCTGGACTAGTCCATATATTTTGATTGATGATGGATCAATACACAGTTATTCTGAGATAGGATCTCTTTTCCCTCCTCCCACATTCATACAACTGGATCTAAATTAGTAAAACTAATTAAAATTCCTTGTGCAAATTTTCTGTTTTCTAGCACCCACATTGTCTACCTTCCATACTATTCCATTCCCATCCCTTTTCTTCTTGTAAAATTGATCCACTCAACCTGCCTTCACACTTACAGAGAGTCCCACTGAAATGCCAATGACGATCACCCTTTTTTTCCCAGCAGTCACCTAGGGCAGGCAGGAAGATGAGCAAGGTAAATAACTGGGAGGACTCCTGGGCCCACCCAATAATAATATTACTTATTGGGGCCAGGACAGACTTGATCTGAATGTTGGGGCTTTTATGTCCCCATGAGAAGGAACAGACAGAGGTCTCTGGTTGAATATTAGTAGGAAGCACAGACCTTCTTCAGTTCCTCAATCCCGTGTAGGGCACTGTCTTCTGTCCTTTCCCTAGAGGCCACCACAGACCTATAAGGGCAGACTTAAGGTCAGAGGCACTGGTTGTAAAGCAGAAGTCTATGGCTTATTAGGGCAAGTTATGCTGAGAGAAGGGAATGAAGGAAAACAATCATTGAATGAACACCTACTGTTTGTTGGGCACCATGATAGACACTCCATAGAGTTGAAACACTCAAATACCTACAAAGGTCAGTCAGGTAACCTAAGTATGTAAAGTAGGCCAAAAGTAAGGCAATAAAGAATGCTGGGGACTGAGGTATTTTGGAAATAATCTTTGTCTAAAGTCATTCAAATTCAGGTTCTAAAATAACACATATTCAGGCCAAATGAAACATTTATAGGCCAAAGTGACTTACCTGTCACCCCCTGCAATGAGGTAGGTATAAAGAGGTTTTTGTCCTAGACCTTTCATTAGCTGGTTAAAGGAGACCTGTCAACAGGGAGAATATGTGAAGAAGTAAAGACAGTGAAGGAACAAGTAACTTGGACTTTCAATTCCTAAAGGGTAAAAACTGTATAATTATCTCCTAGGCCAGTGCTTAGCTCATTCCTACTTGGAATCTGCCAGTTAAAGATGCTAGTTGGAGATGATTACTTAGGGATGCATGGGATGTAGAGACATTACCAATAGAATGGTGGGTCTCCAATGGGCTCAGGAGAAATGGGACTCCATGGTGGGATCTAACTTTTGGAGGAGAGAATGAGGCATGCAGCCCAAGTCTAATGAAGGGTCCACCTAGAAACTTAGCTATGATGACCTTCATGGACCTGGGGAATCATCTGCAGAAGGGAGAGAGAGGAAGGAAAACTGGGGAACGGGGTACTCACTGACATGAGGAATGCCATCCGGCCAGAGGTGCCCCCTCCACTAAGTACCACCAGCGCTTCCTCTGGCTCCTGAGGAAGGAAAGATATCTAGATTGCCAGGACCCAGCTGGAATATAGGGAAGCACTTTCTTTTCTTTGTCATTAATGAAAGAGGACTTCAAGGGACTCCTTATCCCTCCTTGTATCACAAAACTGAACACAACATTGGCTATGTGGTATAGTCAAAGGAACACTGGATTGGAGAAAGAAACTTCAGTTTGACTCCCATCTCTGACATAGCTATTTATTCAGTCCATAATTTATTCTAGAAGGGGCTGAGAGCAGCTTTATCATTCAAATAAAAACTTAAAAGCAGTATTATCCAATAATTATTAGCATTTGGGCAAACTACTGTGATTATTCTAAGTCTTTTCTTTTTCATCTGAAAGTAAACAGACAGTAATACCAACTTCACAAGTCTTTGTGTGGATAATGGATGTGAAAGTTCAGGGTCAATTATAAAGTATTATGCAGTTAATAGTTATTATTATTATTATTATTATTATTATTATTGATTAATAAGATTACAATAAGGATCCAAGAGGGAGGACTGAAAGAATGGACAACTAAGATCCATAAAATAAGAAATGGAGACCAAAGAAAGAGAAAGAGGGAAACGGAATAGCGTAGGCAGGGAACAAACAAATCATCAGTACCTTCAGCACATCCTGAACTTTCTCAGCCACTTGCACCATGGTGGTCAGAACTGATTCACTGTATAGTCTCTACAGGGATGAGGCAGGAATCAGAAGCCAAGAAAGGGAGGTCAGTGGATCAGGATGGAAGAAGAGAGGGTTCTCGGGGTTTCCAAAATCAGGAGCCATTGTCTGAGAGGGCAGAGGCTGAGAGGGGGCTGGGGTTAGCATCTTTATCAACTGTGTCCAGGGGCTGGGGCTGGGTCACCTGGTATGTGGGCATGGCTTGCCGCTCCTCCTGGAAGATCTCAGCATCACACTGCCCCAGCAATCGAACAATTTTCTCGGCATCTGCTTTGTCCAAGTCCCTGGTCAGTGGGTTTGACTTCTCTGTGATTGGCACAGCTGCCTCATACCCAGACAACTAGAGAGGAAGGGGATAAGGATGGGGCAGGAAGCCAATGCCTCCTTCATGCCTGCTGCGCTGGAGGTAGGAGTGGCAGCAGACAGTGTTTGAACCACACACACACCCCCAACACTCACACACCAGGACCTTAGCCTTCTCTTGATTATTTGAGCCTATTAGGGAAGGAAGATCAGAAGGGAAAATAGGAAGGAAAAAGGAGCGGGCAGAAACCCAGGGTGGAGGGAAAGGAGTCAGTGCAGAAGACCAATATCAAGAAGGGTCTCACCTCCCACTCGCCAGGCTCTGGGGTCTCAATCACGTGTTGAAACCGTTTTGTGCCTGGCATGGTCCTATAATATGGACACACTGTTCTGCCTGCCTCTTCAGCCACACAAACCCCTCTGGTCATAATGACTCTGCTTCCAATTGGCAGGGCTTTATCTGAGCCACAGAGATGATTAACCCAAGAACCCTGGCCTCTCTGAGCACCTCCCCCAGCATCTCTGGCTACACCACTCTTTCCTGGTTACTAGGCTCCGAGCACTCTGGGGGAGCTTCTGGGGTCCTCTTTGTATGCACCCAAAACTTGCCAGCCCCTTCTATATTTTCAGAAGAGGAAGAGCAGAGGTTCATTACTCTTGCCCTTTAGATACAATGCTGTCTTCTTTAGAAGACCTCAAGCTTGGGAGAGCAGGACAATACCCAGTCCAGAGAGAATCTCTGGGCAATCTCTGGATGCCCCAAGAGGCCAGAGGTCAGGGTCCTTGGATCAGCAGAAGTCAGAGGACCTGGGCCATGGCTTGATCACATGCTCAGCACTCTGTTGTTCTTTCCTGCTCTACTAGCCCATTTTTACCTCTCCTCTCAGAAAGGAAAGCAACAGAAGCTTCAGAGCCCCAGGTGTGCACAAACTGAACTGAGTATGGGGGCGGGGGGAATGCTTCAGAAATAGAAATACTGCAATGAGAACAAAAGACTCTGCCCTAAATACAATGTTATCCAACATTTATTTACTCTGAGCCATGCACTTTTTACATACAGTATCTCATTGGATATATCAACACTAAGAAATCAATATTAAGCCAGGCATGGTGGTGCATGCCTGTAATCCCATTGGCTCTGGAGGCTGAAGTAGGAGGATCACAAGTCGGAGACCAGCTTTGGCAACTTAGCAGGACCCTGTCAAAAAGTGTGGGGGGAGGCTGGGGGAGCTGGGGTGTAGTTTAATGGTGTAGTGTCCCTGGCTTCAATCACCAGGACTGGGAAAAGGAAAAAAAAAAAAAAAAAAAGGTCAATATTGTTTGACATCCTTGTTTTTCAAATCATGGAACAGACTCAGAGAAGTTCAGTTAACAGTTAGTTGCTTAAAATCACACAGTTGGCTGAACTGATACACCTAAAATCTCCAGATATTATACTAGGCCAAAGAATGAAATAATTTAGGGACTTTCATTTCCTGAATGAATGAAACAACTAACAGGGTGCAAATCAAAAATAAACACTCACTCACATACTATTATAAGATTTAGAGAGATCTTTCCCCAATATTGTCTCATTTGATCCTCACAACAACCCCATTAGGTTTCATATGCTTTGCTTTATATGTGGAAAAACTAAGATGCAGATTAACCAATTTCTCTAAAACCACACAGAAAGTGGCAGAACTAAGAGACAGGAAGATTTGAGAGAGAAGACAGAGACAGAGATAGCCAGCCAGCCATAAGTCTTTGCTCTTTACTTCTCCCTCTAAGACCAATCTCTTCATCTCTGGGTCTTAACATAATGCCAGACACATAGGAGATACTTCGTAAATATTTGCTGAATAAATGAAAGAATGAATGAGAAAGCGAAGGGAATCAAATAAGATTATGAATGAGACTTAAAAAGCTGACGCAGTCTACAAGTAATAGATTGTTGAAACAATTATCTCCATCACTGCTCTTCTCAGTCCCCGCCCGCACCGGAGGTGGAATCTCTCCTCCCAACTTGGCTAATTCCTCCCCGGGAAGGAGGGGTTCTCCAGGTGCCCAAGACCCTCGCACTTGCGTCTCTTCCCGCGCCCCCGCCGGATCATCGGCTTGAGTCCGGGGAGGAGGGATTGGGGGCCCGGGAGGCCGCCATTGGGAGGGTCGTGGGAGGAGCCCCGAGAGAACCGGGGTGGGGGGGCCGAAGGGGGGATGACGGCGGCGAGAACCCCGGCGGGGCGGGGCGGGCCCGCACGTCCCGGACGGGCTGCGGCGGAGCGCGCGGGGCCAGCTCTGCAGAAGGCGGCGGCTGGCTGGCTGGCCGGGACGGTCACATCCCGCTGCAGGGGCCGGCGGAGGGAGCCGCACTGCCCTCCGCACCGGGGACCCAGGCAAGCGGCCAGGCCGCGCCGGCAACGCCCCCAGCTCTGGGACAGACCGCGCGACCCGCGCGGACTCTGGGGTCCGCAGACCGGCAGCCGTGCCTACTCCGCCACTGTCCTCTGCCGGCAACTCGGCCTCGCGCTGCCGGCCTCGCAGGGCCAGTGCCGGAATGGGGTAGGGGCAACGCCAGAATCGGAGGATGGGCCGCCCCCTGGGCACCGAGCAGCCCCCGGAGGCCTGACCCATCGCGAGGACCGGCGGAGGTGGGTGTGGGCAGGGAGAACCGCGCACTGGGGTTGCCGCGGGTTATGCGGGGGCGGGGAAGGCGAGCGGAAAACCGGGCTGTTGTGGGCCGTGGGAAGCCTAGGAGAGCTGCTGCCCACCATGCGTTCTGGGCAGCCTCTGACCCTCACAACTCCTGCCTCTTCCAGGAGCCCCGCCTGGATGTTAAGCGGATGCTCCAGTGCCCCCTCAACAGACTATGGGGACCATGGCTTCGCTGATGCCTCTCTCCCCATATCTAAGCCCCACGGTCCTCCTGCTGGTCAGCTGTGACCTGGGCTTTGTGCGAGCAGGTGAGTAAAGACCAATGGGGGTGAGGTCAGCTGGAGCTGTGAGTGAGTGAAACCTGTTAACCTGTTAACACTGGGCACCCACAGACCGACCTCCCTCTCCTGTGAATGTGACGGTCACTCACCTCAGAGCCAACTCGGCCACTGTGTCCTGGGACGTCCCGGAAGGCAACATCGTCATTGGCTACTCCATTTCCCAGCAAGTATGAATCACCCTTCAGCTTCCCCGACCTGTGTCCTTGGATCTCTGCACATTCCTTCATTATATCCACCCTTTAAATCCCCTCCCAGAGGTGGGGGAATCTGGGAGCTGGTGTTTCTTGGCTCACGCTGCCGTTTCCACCCTACTCCCTTGGAGTGCTTGGATAGTCCGGAGGCCCTGGTTAAGCCTTGTGGCCAGGAACTGGGGTGAGGCTGCCCTCCTCTCCCATCATCTCCCTGCAGCGGCAGAATGGCCCTGGGCAGCGTGTGATCCGGGAGGTGAACACCACCACTAGGGCCTGTGCCCTTTGGGGCCTGGCTGAAGACAGCGACTACACAGTGCAGGTCAGGAGCATTGGCCTTCGGGGAGAGAGCCCCCCAGGGCCCCGGGTGCACTTCCGAACTCTCAAGGGTTCTGACCGACTGCCCTCCAACAGCTCCAGCCCAGGTGAGGGTCTGGGCTAATGAGTTCTTTGGCTTTTTACCTGGCTTATAACCTCATATTTGCTCCCCAAGGCAAGCAATCATCTAGCTTAGATGAATAGAGGGATGATTTATTCATTGTACTGCCAGGAAAGGAAGGAAAAGCAGGTGGGCAGGGGACTGGGTATAGACGCACTGCTAATGAATTCTTTGGGGGAAGGGCTTCTAAGCTTCCTTTCACCCAACCTCGTGTCATTTCAGCTGCAGCCTGCTTGAGTGAGTTCTGTACCTGACCTGCAGCCCTCCTGACTATTGATCTCTAACCACCTGTCCATCAATGGCTTCCTCCCAGGGATAGGCTACCTTACAACTCCAGGGTCCACACTATGATGGGTCCAAACTGATTCTAATCCCCAGCATCTCCATTCTGCAGTTTTAGTGATTCCTCTGTAACTCTGGAGTCTGTTTTCTGTCTTCTCAGGTGACATCACAGTGGAGGGGCTGGATGGAGAGCGACCACTGCAGACAGGTGAAGTGGTCATCATCGTGGTGGTGTTGCTCATGTGGGCCGGTGAGTAAGCTGCTGGTTGGAGGACCAAGTACTTAGGGTGTGGGACTCAGTGAAGGGGGGAGGTGGTGAAGGTTTTTCTGTTAGGAGAAAATGGAATGGGAAAAGTGACATGGGGAGATGCTTGTTTGAGGGAGGATCATCAGGACAAGTTTAAAGAGAATGAGAGGAGGCTGTTGAGAGCCCAGAGACAAAGACTGCCTGGACACCAGGAATCCAAAGATATTCTAGAGGTTGTATGGGTATGTTGTTACTCTCAAGGTTGTGAGTGGAGAGGTTGCCATCAAGGCTTAGATGGTATTGTTGTGTTTCAGCTGTAATCGGGCTGTTCTGCCGTCAGTATGACATCATCAAGGACAATGACTCCAACAACAACCCCAAGGAGAAGGGGAAGGGGCCAGAACAGAGTCCTCAGGGAAGGCCAGTGGGAACAAGACAGGTGATATTGGGCCAATGAAGGTGGGAAGGATAATATGGGCCCAGAGGAGCAGCCAGGGAAAGGGATGAGACCAAAGAGGGGCAGGAAAAAGGGGAGAATGGAAGGTCTGGGTTGGAGGAGGCCAAAGAGAAAGGATGGCATCTACTACCTTGCTGAAATTAAAGACCCAGGCCACTTTCTTTCACAGAAAAAATCATCATCCATCAACACCATTGACGTTTGAGTGAAGATGTGTGAGTGAAGATACAGAACTAGAAGAAAGATGCAGTAACAACCTGGGGATGGGGATGGGGTGAGGTCAGGGAGAGCATATAAAGGTGATCTAACCAAGACTCTAGAGGGTAACACACTCCCATGATCTCAAGCTGGTGCCTATCCTCTTTCCACCGTGAGCAGGGACAGAAGGTAGGTCGGTTAGAGTCTGCACCTCCGGACCTAGAGAGCGGATATCAGATGAAGCATCTCCCATACCCCAGGCCCAGGGAGAGTCATTTATTCAATCCTTTCCCATTAGGTCCCAAATAGGGGCCCCATTTCACCTGCATCAGGACTCTTGGCATCCCCAGCTGCTCTCACATCTTGCCTCTGGGCCTTAGAGAGGGGTGTTTCTGTGGGTACTAGCCCTCCCCCAACCAATAACAGGAATTGCCTGGGACTAGAGGCAGATGCTGCACTGCACTACTCCAATGTCTTCCATGGAGCCTCTGGTGCTCCCTCCTCACCTGGCAGCCCCTCCAGCTGCTGGTGACCTCACTCCTTTGACATTTTTCCAATAAAGGTTCTTGAACAAACTGGAGCTCAGTTTATATTCTATGGTATGCTGAAGACAATCTCCACACCTCGTCACTTATATTTGACTGTACATGGGCATCTCACACCATCACCAACTTGACAGGGGCAGATGTATTGTGAGGCATTTGCTTTAATTCTCTGGTCTGAAATGAGTGCAGAGAGACCAGGAAGAAGGGGCATAGAAAACTAGAGCCCCAGTTTCTTTGCTTTGTTGAATGAGAAGGGAGAATACTAGAAAAGACAAAATTCTTCCTGTGCCAATGGAAATTAAGTTATGTCATATGACAGAGCCAGTAGCCTTGTCATCTTCACTGCTTACATCGCTGGCCCATCTCTACATCATAATTCTGTTTACTCCTCTGTCAACCCTATAAAAGACTGAGCAGTGTCTTGGGGACTAATGAAAGAGCAGCTACACTAATGGATCCCTCTGTGTTGCATTCTCCTATCCTGTACATTCTTTTGCCTGTTCTTCCTGCCTTTGTCTTTCCTTTCATCTCCATCTCTACCTTTGTTCATTCAAAGTCAGTAATAATTGTAATGCATAAATTTACACAACCTGCCACCATATTCAGAGGAGGAGTTTAGAAATAAAATTGAGGGGGGTTCCATGCCAAAAGAATTATAATTTTGGCTCTATGATGCATTTGTTTCCTGTGAAAATAGGGGCTATCCTCTACTCTTCCCTATTTTCCAAGAAGGAGTTGGTGGGAGTAAGAGAAATACCTGTTGACACAGGTGACCACTGTGGAGGAGAGGCTTCTGAGCCCAGAATATGTCTGAAGAGAACATGTGACACTTTCAGGAGAGTTATAAATCTACTCAACCTTGTATCATTCCACAGGAGGCAACTCCTTTACTGCATTTTGATCTCTCTGATGTGTTATAAGAAATTAAACCAAAAATTTTGAAAGGCACCCTAATCCTAACAAAGATCAAGAAATCAGTACCTTTTGTACTTAACCAATCTCCAACCCCAGGTGTGCAAGCTTTAACCTATCAGGAGAGCTCTGGTCTGACACATAAAACATCCTTATATAAGCAGCAATCTTGAACTCACCATTATCCAGTGCCCAAGTAGGGCATCTTTCATTTCCCTGGCCACTGGTTCTAAAACACTTCCCTCAGACTCTGGAAACCATCATTTCTTGGGACAGGAGTGTTACAGGCTAGAGTGACCTCGCATGGAGATAGTGAGCTAAGACTCCAGAAGGAATATAAAGAGTATTTAAATCTTCCATTTCTGGGTTGAGTCCCAGTCCGACCCCTTACTGGCTGTGTTAACTTGAGCAAGGGACACCCCTAATAGTCTCCGGGTATATAAAATAGAATAATGCGATCCTATTTAAAAGGTAGCTTTGAGCTTTAACAATATAATGTATGATTAATATTTTGCCCAGTACCATGCAGACACATCCTGTGCAAGTCGGGTTACTTATTTGTGTTTAGTTCCATCGAATGCCCTTTGTCCTATTCGCCCCCACCACCACCCGCCCGCCTCACCCACCCCGAGAATTTGAGGAAAACACTCTCAGCCACGCTGAAATGCATCAAAGAGCAAGATGATTGCGAGCCGGGGACTTGCTGAAGGCTTGTGGGTGGGACTTGGTCTTTGGTTTGCATGCAGCAACGGGATTGGTTGAGGAGAGGATTCGTCAAGACTCCTCTCGGACCCGCCCAAGAGCTCACTGCGCTTGCGCACGCTATTTGCTTCGCCGAGAATCCATTTCGTGACCTTGCGTCGTGCGCGGCGCTCCGGTCGCGTACGCGTCAGCGTAGTCGCTTCGGCTGCTTGGCGGGTTGTCCAGGTAACCGCTGGAGTTGTCGCTGTCTGTAGCTTCTGAGAGACAGGTGTGCGTCATGCAGCTGAAGCACCTGAGGACCCTGCTGAGCCCTCAGGTGAGGAGTTGCGTGCCTCTTCCCTTCCCCGGACGCAGTGCGTTCCGATAAAAGTCGGGGCACTGAAGTTTATAATGATGAGCGCCTGCCGTGCGCAGAAGACTGTAAAGGATCTAGCGATCTCCGTTTGTACAGCCTTCAGTAGGCGAGGTGGACCGCTAATCACCGTAGCTTTCCGTACATTTCATAATCCGTTGTACAGCAGGCTCGGTGCTGGGGCTCTAAGGAATCCATGATCACGCGCCCTGCTGCCCCTGCCTTCAAGAGCCTCATTCCAGAGGGAGATCTGCACGTGTAGGCCACGAACATAATTCTACACAGAAGGAAATAAGCGCTTTAGGTGCAAACCCGAAAGAGGGAAGGGTGGAAGATTGAACCTTCATTCTGATCATGAAGTTTCGTCGCCTCCAATTCATAGAGGCTGGGCACTAGGGAAGGAACCCTGAACAAGGTGGACAAAGGGTGGGTTTTGGAGTTAAGAGACCAGAATCCAAGTCCCAGTTCCATTACTAATCTAGCCGTATGACCTCTGACTTTAGGCCTTATCACGCAGTTTCTGAGCATTCCACCAGCTTACAATACTAGCAAACTTAGGGACTTGGGTGAGAGTTAATGAAGTAATATACACAAAAGAGCATTGCAAACTGTAAAAAAAAAAAAAAAAAAAAAAAAGCAGTGTGCAAATTGATGCACAAGAGAGAACATTCAGAATTGAAAGGGCTACCATAAGGCCAGTAAGAATATCTGTCATAATTGAGTGCTCAATATACACCCGGGCAGCATAACTAAAGATGTTAGCATTGTGATTATAGAGTCAGACATACATAGATTTAAATCTTGGTTCTGCCACCTACAAACTGTGTATATAAACTTGGGAAAATTACTTAGCCTTTTTGTGCCTCAATTTCTCCCATCTGTAAAAGTAGCATTAACAGCATCTATCTTGGAATTGTGAGGTAAAATGAGATAATGTGTGTGAAGCACTTATTAAAATGCTACTCTATGGAAGTGCTTGTTAAAAGTTAGCTGCTTAGGGCTGGGAAATATATTTCCTTGCATGCACAAGGCCCAGGGTTCAATCCCCAGCACCCCCCCACACACACACACACACAAGTTAGCTGCTATTGTTCTATTCTCTATCTCCCTTAATCCTACAACAGTCCAGTGGGGTACAAAATGTGGAAAAAGAATTAGCCAGGCATGGTGGTGCATACCTGTAATCCCAACTACTTGGGAGGCTAAATCAGGAAGATCACAAGTTCAGGGTTAAACTGGGCAACCTAGTGAGTCAAATATAAAAAAGGATCTGGGTGTGGTGGTGCTCACCTGTAATCCCAGCAGCTCTGGAGGCTGAAGCAGGAGGATTGCAATTTCAAAGCCAACCTCAGCAATTTAGTGAGACCCTGTTTGTAAATAAATTATAAAAAGGGCTAGGGATGTGGTTCAGTGTGAAGTATCTCTGGGTTCAATCCCCAGTACCAAAAATAAAGAAGGCCTGGGGATATAGCTTAATGGTAAAGAACCCCAGGATTTGATCTCTAGTAGGGAAGAAGAGGGAGAGAGGGGGCAGGGGAGGAAGGGAGAGAGGAAGGAGGAGAGAGAGGAAGGAGAATTAATTGATTATGGTACTTCACAGAGAATGCGGCATTTGGAAAATAAAAAGGAAATTAGAAAAAAAGAAAGTTGTGCTTCTTACTCAGTAAGTTGCCCCAGAATCTATAGTTTAAAAATTGCTTTGTCCTAATGGAAAAATTGGAAATGGATTCCTCCTTCAATCTCTTAAAATAAGATGATGTCATGATGCAGGTAGGGCCACATGCCCAGGATCAGGCACAGCCATGGAGCAGGATAATCAGCTAAAGTTGATGAATTGTCCTCAGCACTTCTAACCTAATGTAATGAAGAGTTGGAGGATGACAGTAGTGGTGGTGGTGTAACTATTTTCTGGCTCTACTTTGGGGTTTGGTCAAAAAAGCCTAATATTGGATGTAAGTGGGTTAGGAATAAAAATTGACAATGTGTTAAGCCAGAGATCTAGATTCCATGTAATTAATCACAACAGGATTGAAGCTATTATTTTAATTTTGTTTTTAGTTGTAGCTAGACACAATACCTTTATTTTATTTATCTTTATGTGGTGCTGAGGATCAAACCCAGGACCTCACATGTGCTAGGCAAGCATTCTACTGCTGAGTCACAACCCCAGCCCCAAAGTTAGGTTATTTTGTTTGTGATGCTGGGGATTGAACCCATGCCCTTGTGCTTGCAAGGCAGGCACTCAGCACTCTACCAACTGAGCTATATCCCCAGCCCTATTTTAATTTTTATTTCAAGGAGGAAAACTCTTAGGGATAGAAAAATAGAAGACCAGAGCTGGTGGTGGGAGGGTTAGACATGAAAAGAATAATCCATTAGGTGCTGATCACTTCTAACTTGGGCTTCTGTGAAGTAAGTGGTTGAGGAGGGGAAAAGTGGCATTGCTCATCCTAAGTCTCAACTCTAATTATGTAACTTCCCATTCCAAAACTTTCTCTGTCTTTCCCTTTCCTGTAAAATAAACTCAAACTCCTTAGCCTGGCCTCAAAGATCCATTCTGATCTGGCCTCAGTCTGTTTCCTGCCTTGTCTCTTCTATTCATCTAAACTAAATTACTTTTTCTCATCCAGAATTCACCTTTGCTCATGCTCTTCATTCTATTCCAGGTAATTTCCCTTTCAACTACATTCATTCTTCAAAGTTAATTTTGACCACTTCGGCATAAAATTATCTTGGGCTTCTCCAAATTATTACTGCATTCTGTATGTACTTCTCTTATGGGACTTTTCCATTTCATATCATCTTATGAGATCCTAGGGCTGGGTGTGTTTTACTTTTCTCAGTAGGTGCTCAAAAACATTAATTAATAAGTAGCTAAAGACTAAACTTATTAGACCAATTAAATTTATTTCAGTATCAGTCCTGGGATATAAGGGAACAAGGAGGCCATTGCAGGGATAGATTGGTATAGGTGACTTAATGTTTTGTATTATGAGTCTAAAAGCACATTGCTGGGGCTGGGGGTGTAACCCAGTGGTAGAGTGCTTACCTAGCAGTAGTGAGGCACTG